TGTGTGTGTGTGTGTGTGTGTGTGTGTGTGTGTGTGTGTGTGTGTATCAGAGCAGCAAGGCACCGACCGGTATGGGCCGCTGTGGCCGCGCGTGACTGCTGGCTGGCTGCCTCTCCTCTCCAGCTCATGTCGGCGGGAGATGCCAAGAGAGGCCTTCGAATCGAGTCACTTTTATACGATTTGAGTAACGCGCTCATCGGCGTGATTCAAAGATGTTGGCGCGATTGTCCCATGCAGCTGCTGATGCCTGCCTTTTAGGCTGCTTGCTGTACGTACCCATCGCTTGCTTGCTCGATATACACGATTGCGGGTTGCTGTCCGCCGCGAAGCAGCAGCTATAGCCAGCCGTACATGCTGTGCAGCGTGCCTGAATCCATCCACCCTCACGCACAACGCACATCCACCGCGCAGTACTTTGCAAGCAGATACATGAGCAGCCCCCTGGCAAATACATCAACTCCAAGAATTGCTCACTCACGACTTGTGGATGGGGCGAAGAGACACACGGTCGGGGCCATCTGCAAACCAACACACACACACAAGCTTTCATTTCACCCGCCTCCTCTTCTCGATCCGCACCGCCGAGCAGAAGCGTCAATCATTGCCGGACCCTTGCTTGCCAGTGCACTTGGCGACTTGCAACCTGGCAAAGGAACGCGCTATCCCCTCTGCCTTGCCGCTCGGTGCACCTCTCCATTCCGCTCTTCCAGCCCACTCCATCCGCCTCTTGCTCGACAAGACCTGCTGGACCAGCCAGTTTCTGCGTGGCTCACGACAAAGCAGTGAACCCAAACGCGAGGGGCGCCCGCGTCCGACAAAAAGGGGGGGCGTTGGCAGTCGCAGTCATGACGACACCCGAAGCAGCGATCGGGACGCAAGCTCGACCTACGACTGTGCTTCTTCTTCGAACGCCCGTACCTCCGTCCGTAGGCACGGATCCCTATCACGACATTTTCGGACCCTTTTGCCTGCCCTCTTTTCCCTTTAGCGCGTTGGAATCTGGCTCTTCCACACCTCTTCCCGCTGCGCCACTCAATCCGCACTCGATCGGAAAGGGAGAAGGCGTGGAGCTGCTGAAGAACGCTTTGCAGGGTAGCGAGACGGGAAGGAGAAGAGGTAGGTGGATCAGCGATGATGATAGCCTCACCACTACGCACTTGGAAAAGGTGAATGTGAGGGCGACGAGGAATGGCACTGCTGCAGGTGCGGCGGCGGATGGGGAGGATGAGGAGACGTTGGAGAGGGAATGGTGCGTCTGCAGTATCCCCGTCTTGGGTCACAGCCTCATCGATACGGACGGCTTGACTAGGAGGGTGCGCAGTGGCCCTCCTCCTCTTCCTCCTCCTCCTCAACCCTCATCGTCATCGTCGGCGCCGGACGTGCAGGTGGATGGAGATGCTCAGCAATCATCGCAGTTAGGAGCGCACGAAAAGTACAGAGGAGTCATCGTCACTTCTCAGAGAGCAGTGGATGCTTGGGCTGAAGCTGCAAAGCAGGTAGCGCAGGAAATGCAACAAGGAAAGCATGGTGAGTGAAGGAATGCTTGGCTTTGCTCGACTTTTGTTTACTTGGCCTTCGCACGGTATGGAGGAAGAGGGGGTGGGCAAGCCGGCGTGCCTTGCTAAGCCAGTGCACATGCAAGTGTCTGACATTTGCTTCGTTTCATGCCTGCAGCTCCAACCACGACTTGGAATCGAGTTCCCTTCTTCGCTGTAGGGCCCGCGACAGCGTCAGCGCTCAGGCAGCTTGCACCTTCATTACCACTACCGTTGCGGCCTTCTCTGGTCATGGGTGGGGGCGCGACAGGTACAGGCGAAGCGCTGGCCAACTACGTGATACGGCACTTTGGCGGCGATCCTTTTGCACCTCCCGCTCCCAATCGATCCGAAGTGGAAGTCACATCTCAGCCTCCCATTCTGGTGCTTGTAGGCGACAAGAACGCGCCTACCATCCCGGACAAGTTGAGGGGTGCGGCTCTGAATTACGAGGTGCAGCAAGTGTACGAGACGTGCTTGGATGATGACTTTGAGGAGAGGTGTACGGATCTAGCGAGGACTTTGCCTGCGACCAGCTCTAGACCTGGATCGAGGAGGCCCAGCAGGTCGAACAGCGGATCGTTTGGTGGAGGAGGAAGGAGGCCTAGCTGGGCAGCGTCTATACGCGAAGCGGCAGATCAGAACGCGGCTCATCTTCGGGAAGGCATCGCCTCTGCTCTGGGATCCATCGCAAGCGTTGGAAGCAATCCTCTATCTGCCATGACTCCCGTATCCCATGCTCACACTCAGGCGGGAGGTACGGGCAGCCCGCTGCAAGCGGCCAATGCCATTGCAGACGAGGAGGACGATGCGTTGCCCGATGCCCCGCTTCCTCTGGATACGGATCTAGGACTGGGCACGGGCCGAGGCACCAAGCCGGATTGGATCGTCCTGTTCTCTCCTTCTGGTCTTACCTATGCCTTGTCAGCTCTGCGGCGCAAGAAGTGGATTCCGCCCGCCTCTAATGCGACGACGAATGAGAATGGCGGCGGAGGGACGAGCTCGGGGGCGCCAGAGGGCTACCCGCGCATAGCGTGTTTGGGACCCACAACCAAAAGAGCAGTCAAGGAGACTTTGGGCTTCCAAGCCGATGCGGTGGCCAGCGCGCCCGAGCCCATCGAGCTCAAAGAGGCCATCAAGAATGCCGAGATTAGGATTAGGAGGGAGAGGGAAAAGTTCAAGGAGGCTAGAATGGCTCAAGAGGCGCAAAGGAGAGAAAGAAGGGATAATCCCGATCCGGACGGTCTCATCGAGATGGATACTAGCTGATGCGCTCAATGAGCCCGACGTGGACATCATTCACATGCTTGCTGGTCCAGCCGGCCATGAAAGGATGTGGCGGGAGGCGCCTCTCGAAACTTGGACAGGGCGCCTGACGAGCCACCTCGGGGGCACTCGCCGTTGCCGCCATGGTCGGGTGTCACCGCATCTCTCCTCATCGCGACGCGAACCCTTCCAGATCGCTTCTGACTCTCCAGCGCCATTTGGCCGAGCCCGAGTCACCGCGCTGCAAATTGCAATACATAGCAGGGAGCCAAAGGATTCTTTCTTTCGTCGCGCAATTGCATACTCTTACGTGGTTCTGGCACGAACTTGCACTTTGATATCGAGATGAGCCTTGCCGGTGTCTGATGATTGCTTGAAGAGAGCCGTCGAGGCTATGTGTGAGCTCTGCCAGGCACGCGAGGTGCATGAGCTTCTCGAGTCACATTCTGCCATTCTCTACTGCGTTCTGCTGTGGTGTACATGCGCCATAGCCCCTCACTCTCCACCCTCCTTCCCGCCCTTTGCGATTCTGAGGCCCGCCCTCGACTTGCTGCATGACCGAGTCGCGCATCTGAGCGCAGTCTTGCAGCTCGCGAGCAGGTAGCGCGTGGAGCTGATGCTCTACCGGGAGGCATGTGTCGACTAGTTTGCGCCCTTCTACATCATGCTCCCCACTTGGCCCATTCGGCTGTGCGCCGATGCAGGCCTGGTAATCTTAGACGACCAAGTACAAGGCCATGATGATGCAGGCCAACGATACGTAAGGGCTCAACCTTTCGCCTAACGAATCGACGAACAAGGGTCGAGGAAAAGAGTGTAGGATGAGCCATGTGGGAGAGAGAGAGAGAGAGAGAGAGCGCACCCGGTTCGTGGGGGGTGGTATTGGTACGCACCTATCCTGGCTGCTTTGAAGAACAAGCCGAAAAAGCTGTGTCGATTGGCAAGAGGAGGGGGGGAAAAGAGGGTAAGCGAAACCCATCACGGACAGAAAAGAGCCGCTTCGAAACGGAACTTCTTTGCGCGATGCTCAAGCACTATGCCGCTTGAGGCAACTCGGGTGGAAGTGTGAGCCTTGCAGAGGCCCCAGGCTTCATGACAAATCGATGCGACTTGAGCACCAGACCTGGGCGTTCGTGCCGGCTGATGGCCATGCGCACCTCATTGGCTTCGCAACCGACATATCCGCCCGTCCGCCCTCGCAGCAGAACAGAGGAATGTCAGACAAGGCCATCGCTCACCCTTCCTTGTTCCTATCTATCAATCCAGGGGCCGTCGCTCGAACGTATGTGCATGTGCATATCATGAGCACGATGACGAGCAACAAGCTCTGAAAGTTGAAGAGAGCCGACATGATGCCCCACCCGCGTTCTCTTGCCCTAGTTGCTTGGCCCACTCGCCCTTTTGAATAGTTGCTTCGCCTTTGGCTTGAAGCACGAGCGCAGGGCAGGGGGGGTTATATTATCGGGGCAGACGAATGTGCTGCTATTCCCCCTTCCGTCTTACAAGTCTGGTAGCCCGCGAATTGGGCCTTCAGAGGTTGGAGACGCGTGATGATGCGTCTAGTAGGAGTAAGCCAGCTCGTTTGAGATGTTCGCTTCCCTTTTCCCCAACCCCGCCAAGCCAGCCTTTGGCGCGGGAGGTGGAGGGGCAGAAGAACAAGAAAGATGGCGGGGCGATGCGGATGGGAATGGGGTGCAGGGCTGCAAGGCCTGTTGTCAGAAGATTTGCGCAAACAGGGAAAATGTCTCCGCTTGTGACGTTGTGAGTGTGAGTGTGAGTGTCATGTCAGATGAACGCTGACATGCCCACTCGCGACTCGTCTTTACCGTGGATCAGCGACGTGCGCGCGCGCAAAAGAC